GATGGATAATTATCAGAGGAGGTGCATTTATAGCACGCTGACAGTGCAGCTCATCAGCCGTAACTGGCCCCTAGTACTTTATATTTTAACACAGGGGGCCTCTTGTGGTGAGAAAAAAAGGATTAATGGAATAATCTGATAATAGAGAAAATGAGAGAGGGAGGGAGAAAGAGAGAGAGTCTTGAGATCAGTGATGAAATGTTAATAAAATTTTAATAGCTTTACTAGTGTGAGCATCTGCATGGTGCCTGAATATAATTAGAAAAACAAATTGACCTATATACAGACATCATTCACTTTTATTCAAACTTTCCTCCATTTTCACCTTTATACTTTTATTTATTTGGTTATTTGGTAAAAAAAAAAGAAATTAGTTAGACATTTCTGAATGCATCAGGTGGACAGCCACGACCTCTGTTTGTTTGAAATAAAGGGGCCATGTTCAGACTTTATCGCTGTATAAAGTGGATGAATCACTTATTATGATCCGATGAACACTGGACTGATGGATCAAGTTTGGTTTTTTGTTTATCTTGCGTTTTATCGGGCCTTAATGTTAGTGTATTCTTTATTGTGTCTTTATTGTTTTTATGGTGCATTTTTTAGTGTGCATTCTTTATTGCAACCCTACCTTCAAGCCTGGTTTCTCTCTCAGGACAATAAAAGTTGATGGCGTGAGCAGATAACAATAAACCATCCAAAGTGAAGCGTTATTATTAAGTCAAATCAACATAACCTGAATTTCAGTGGCCTCAGCAAGCTTTCTGGAGGTCTCTGCAAAATATGCAAAACTAACAAAAATGAGTTGCAGAAAGCCCACACACACAGAGGATGACATTTGTTTGAGAGGGTCAAAAGGAGAACATCGATTTTTGTGCTTGTGTTAAAAAGCTTTTATTGACATGCCATTTCCTCACCAGAAAAGGTCACGGTGGAGTAGAGAAAAAAAGGGGGTTAGAGTGAAACCCAAAGAGACAGAGCACAGATGCAGAACCGTCGAAGATTATAGTACACTGTTGTAAAGCGCTGTAAACAAAGCTGTGAAGCGGACGAATCCAGAAACCTTCATTGCCTTTAAGGTTTGCCCATAATGATAATGTCTCGTGAAACATCGTAATTTCTCTATAAAGAATCGTAAAACTTCAAAGCGACTCTGTCTCTGGAGAGCCAGACGGCACTTGCTGACACAGCACTAAATCTCTTCACTGCACCCTCCTGCTTCATTTTAATGGAAAAACATGTTCACTACTCATACTTCACTCCCACCGTTTCTATAATGTTTTTTATGATTAGACGAGTGAGTCATGACACAGTCTGTAGGGATGCAGTGAGCTCCTTCTAAATGCAAATGCTTTGAATGGAAGAGACAGGAAAACCTCACAGTTTGAGAAAGTCACTAGAAACGAGCCGTGAACATAATTCACATTTTATCACAATACAAAAATCTAACTTTTTACTCATTAATAAAAACAAGTGTGGGTTACACCACTCTTTGTCTCTGTGCTATGATTGAAACTGTATCTCGCCTGCTCCGGGGTGAAAGTGCATCATCATTAGATCAACCTCATTAGACGGCTAAATGTGATAACAGAACTTGGAAGTGATTCTGTGTAAAGTCAATTCTGACTCAATATTATAAAACACGGAGAAACCTGTGTCTTAGTATGTGTTTGTGTTGTGACAAGCTCAAAGACGACAATAAAATCTTTATAAGTGTGTAGGATGGACGAGTCATATCAGTTCAGAAAACAACAGTCTCCTATATTGTGCCACTTGTTTTTCTAGGGGAAAGGGAAAATATAGATTATATAAGTAATTCATGTCTGAGCAAAAATGTAGGTCAAAAGAAAGAAGAAAAACTTGCACAACACAACACAACACATGCATCAGCTGCCCCCCCCCCACCTGCCCCCCACTGTGTTGAACCAACATTAAAACTAAAGTTTGCCTTATACTTCTTTCATCCTCTTTTCTATAAATACTACATGTTTGGAGACTTAATAAAAAATGCATTAAAGCTGCAAACAATCCTCTGTGATGTAAATGACCGCAGACTCACAAACACTAGAGAGGTACTGAAAAAACAAAGAGAATTTCAGATCACTGCTTGTATCGATGGTTTGTGCCGGCACATCGAGTCCACTTAGCAGATCCACATTTAGTTCAGACACAGCAGTAAAGTCATGATCGGAGGATCAAATAGACATTCTGAAGCCTGAAATACAAGCATCAAACGTGTTTTCAAGCCACACAGCACATCCTACTCTCAAATACCCACCTCACCAGCCTTGTCCATAAACCCCTCTAATCTCATCATGCTTTCACGTTAAATCTCTTAACTCTGAAGCCCTTCATGCAGAGCTGAAGAGAAGCCTCCAGTGTATCCATCCGATCATTTCAGACTAGAACTGAACCAGTGAGTGCCAGTGAGTCTGATGTACGGCTAATGTTGAGCAAATGACTGAGTGCCGAAGAAAAGTTAAGTGCTGATAAGCACATTCCTATTTTGCCGTCTTACTCACATATTCACACTTTTCCCACCCAGACTGCCTTTGCACAGCCCTGTTGAGCTCTTCATTAGAAGCTCTGAACTGGAGCAGTGATGGATGTGACAGTTAGTTAAACGTGGCAGATCCCCTGTGATTATTCTACAGTAAACTTTACAACTTAACAAGTCTCCTACTTGATTGATTAAAGGAATAAACCCGTCTGAAAATGTGCCAGGGTGTTAAAGGAGAAAGTTGCTTCAAATAAAATTAAACATTTACTGCTCTACTACTGGTCCCCTGAGGCACACAGGTAATGACAGCACATAATTGATCTGGACACGACAGTTAACTTCTCCAGAGCAAAGTTTCTAATGTTGCTGCCTCCAACCTGGCTTCTTATCTGATAGTCTGCTGCACTTGATAATGTAATTTAGAAATTTGACATCCTGCCTAACTAAAAACAGCTTCTAAGACCAAACACACTTTTCTGACTGGAGTGGTTTATGGATAATGCAAATATAGTGAGAGTTTATATGTTCACATGTTCTTCCTGCGTGTGTGTAGGTTTTCCCTTTGACAGCTGGGAGTTATAAAGAAGCACAAATGTATTTGTGTGTGTGGTTGTGAATGACTGAACACTGCTGCGTAACAGGCTTAGAGTATGTATAGAAACTATAACGTTTTAATTACAGTCTATATTCTTAACCCAGCAGACTGACTCCTGGTTGGTTCTCCTCAATATATGGCATCAGTGATGTTGGCATTCTCGGTACTGTAAATCTCTACACTTCACAGTCAATATCTCCTCCCATTGTAAAGGATCCACTTGATGAAACTCCTGAGTAAGATTAAAGTGTTAGTCAAGGTTGATGTGGACTTTCTGTCAGTGTTTGATTAGGGATCAGGGGTGTCAGTGTGCACAGAGAATTTAATATCAATCTGGGCTTTGCTCATCAATTTGTTTTGCTCTTGAAGGGCAGACAGCCTGATCCTGCCAAGAAGACTGACGTGCACATCACCCCCCCACCCCACCCCCATACACTGAGACAAATTGAGAAAGTTTAAATATGTGGAACATTTATTTCTATTTTTTAAGCATTATTGCTCTCATAGTTCAGAAATGTGATTAGGACTTTATTCACTACTGTGGTGACTATAACAACTACTATATTAGAAGAAATACTATGACTATGACTACTATTACGGTTACTAGCATTACTACTACAACAAAAAATAAAAAAATTAGAACACAAAGAACTCTACTATGACAACTAAAGTTGTATCTTCAAATGCTATAGCTGGATTACATTCATACAACTATGTTGACAACAACCACAACTTAAAACAACTTCTACTGTTTGGACCAAATATACAGTAACCATTACTATCCAACTTGTTTTCTTAGCCTAGTATATACACAGGTACTGTGATAAATGATGATTCTAGAAAGGAAAAATTGTGTTATTTATTATTGACTTGCCCTAAAAATTATTTTGTATTTATTCTTTTTCAAGCTCTGGCTGGTTTGATTTCCCGTACAAGGTATGATGCCAGCTGAAAGCTGAGGGAGCCAGGTCTCTGTGGAGTGGAGATAAGACAGCACCTGAAGGCTGTGCTCATCTTTGTGTTTGTGTGTCTGAGGAGGAACTCTTAAACCCCGGAGTGCGACGGTGTGTGTCTCTCAGGAACTCAACCACAAACTCTAAGCTACACCAAACCCCAACTGAGATAAAGTCATTGGGCACACAGGAGAAAAACATCATCTTCTTCTCAAATGGAAAGAGAGGTTTCTTCATCATCAGCTCACATGTAAGAATAAAACGTCAAAGATAAACTCAACCTCGATATTAAAATGCTACCTCCTTGCCTCAAATGTGTCTGTGGTGGTGCCAAAGTCAGACCTGCCTCACTGGCCACATGTTGTTAAATACTATAATTAGACTAACAAGCTGTCAAATGGATTGTGAAAAGACGGTAGACTTATTGTTATTGTTTAGGACAATGACTTCGCCAACATGTCCTACGAGCCAAAGTCGATATGCACAGTGATGGCTGTAATTCACCAACTCTACAAAAATAATTTACCTTGAATAGTCATGATTATTCTTGATTAATTATGACAACAATAGGGTCATACCACTTTGTTACACATTTTCAAACACCAGTGATTAAAACAGTGGGAACAGTGTGTCATATACGGTACAAACGTCACCCTCTAGCTGTAAAATCTATATCTGTCTGCTTATTTCTGCTTTTCACAAAGACACAGCTGTATCTCACTTCCCACAAATGAAACACATGATCCTCCATGTTTGTTTCACAATTAACAGCTACTGTGAATTTAGTGGGGTTTATTGCTCACACGCTAAGATCTACAACAAACAGAAAACATTTGTACTCACACCCGTTTGTCACACTCTTGTTGTTTTTGAGACTCCTTCTCACTCTTTCTCAGAAATACAACAGGAAGTGCAATAGGAAGTGATGCAGTCAATAGTGTGAATCCACCTCGTGCTTACGCCTCACTTTTCAAGACACAAACAGAATTCTCCAAGACTTAAGGATCGTCAGAAAGAGTGACTGAGTGTGAATGCATGCATTTGTTAAGGCAGAGACACAAAGTCATGCTGGGCTTCAGTGATACGGTTCTGTGGCGTTACTATGACAAGAGCAGCACTAACTAAACTCTTCATCCTCGTGGTCCTGGCTTTCATCATCTGCCTGCCGGAATTCTTCTTCATGCACAGAGGTGGGTCATCAGAGAGACCTCAGGTCAAGGGGCAACAGCTCTTTATGTTTTGTGTGCATGTTTCACAGTCTATGAATTTGACCTTTTCTTTCTTGGAGGAAAACCGTCAGAGGTAGAGTAATTGGGGACTTAGCTTTAAAAAACCCTGAGGAATTATAGAAACTTAATTCCTTTTATTCCATTTTAATGGCTCATTAGACACGTGTTGTATGGTGTTGTGTTATGTTGAGTGTGAATGTTGCCGTTTGCCTTTTAATTTTAGCTTCTTTTTCCCTTTTTGTAAGTATTTGGGTTAGCACTAGATAAGAACAGAATCCTGCTTACCAGTAGACATAACACAGCTTTATATCCTATCTAGTCCTAATCTTGGGTCCTGTTGCCTCATGAAAGGCATTGGGCTTAAACACTGGAATTCCACTGCACTTGAGGTGACCTCTGATGAGGGACAAGACCAAGTGATTCTCATTGAAAGGACCAATTGTTGGAAGTAAATCAAAGGATGTCTACAGCTTTGAAACTTCGTAAAAAAAAGAGCAGTGTTGACTCAGATTCACAGTACTTCAATACTTAAACTGTTGACATTTTCTTGTTGTTTGTCTCAAGGATGAGCCACAACTGAGAGCTGTTTAGGAACGTTTTTGACTATAATGTGTGATATCTTTCAAATTTGTAGACAATGTAAAAAAAGTTCAGTGTGAAAATGAGTGTTACTGTTACAGTTACTCCAACTGTATCTACCTGGCCTACATGCTATATGTTCCTATCTCATATCAGAGGTGGGTCCAGAGATTTGTTTTCGTGGGTGTACACAGGGGGAAACAACATTTAATTAATTTTCATTTTGATTTTCTTTTTATTAAATTTGCTACGTGTACTCTCAACAAGTGGCAACACACAGAAGACTGGGATGTTTTCTGTATATAGTTGGTCAGAAGTCAGTGTTTCCAGCTCAGTACATTGAACACAGCATCGCTCTGTGTAGCAATCAGTTTAAGCTACATGCTAACGTTACCGAAAACAAGGTAGAGATGTTTACGTTTATCCTGATGGAGAGCTAACTGGACTAAAGTAAAACACACCTGCAGTGTTGTTTAAGAACAGTTTCCCAAAGAAATGGAACCAAATTAGGCCCAAATGGAACAGACGTTGGCAAAACACTGCTTTGACGGTCTTAAAGAACATGTAGTGTTTTGTGCTTACCTTAATTCGGTGCATCATTTGGCAAAATAGTCCATGGCTAGTGTTTCACAAGTTTATTAACGAGCCGCGGAGCCACTTCCCTTCTTTTTCCAAAATAAAAGATTTAACGCGTCATGTTAACAAATGTCTCAGTTTTGCTTCCGTTAAGACATGCAGCGTCGGTAGGAGCTTTACAACTGTTGACATTACCGCGAGTTATGACCATTGGGATTAGATTACGGGGCGGGGGCGGGCCACCGGGGAACAACGCCACTGTAATTTATGCGGTGACTGGTCTCCAAAAATAAAAGATTAACCGTCATTGTGAATAAAATGGAAAAATATTGGTTCAACAATTTTATTGGGTCATTTGATGTCTTCCAGGCAGAATTAACCAGTTTCCTGTGTTTAAATGTATACTGTACATTGGTTTTAAATTCCTTCTCTTTCACTGTATTTGTATTGTTTTTTGTTGGAAGCATTTTGGAGAGAGTTCTTAGTCTTATATTCTTTTTGCTCTCTTTCTCTCCCCATCGATCACTCTCAATCCACTCAAATGTTTTCCATTTTAATTTCAGTTTTAGATTCATTAACTTTGACTTCATACCCACTGCTTTCTTTGTTTTTGCAGTTTTGAAAACCAACTTCCACTGTCTGCCCTGCCAACACTGTGAGCATCAAATCCAGCAGAATACTGGTGGGAACAGGGATGCAGGACTTGGAGAAGTGAAAGAAAAAGATGTGTGTGACTGTTCTCAGATTTCAGAGCTGAATATGCTGGAAAGGTGCTGTGAACAATGGAATCTAAACAACACAGATTATTCTCTATCAAACTACACAGCAGACAGAGGTGGATTAGCAAAGAACGTGTTCATATGTCAAACGGATGTAGACATGACTGAAATACACAACAACACATTATCTTCAGGTAAGAATCATTCAAAGCCGTTCAAGCACTGGTAAAGTCAAGAACATGATGCTATGCAGACGTTAAAGGTCAGGTGATTAATCAAAAAGCCATCCATTGATCTTGGGAGAATCAATCATCGGGTCTTCACTCAGCTTCTAGGTCTGACTAAGTCTGATAGAGCATAAATATTTATACATGTGAGGTGCCGACAAAATACTAGGTGTGTGTACTGCATGTGAAGAGTTACTGGTTAATGTATTTTCCTGTAGGACTAGAAGCAACACATATATCAGGTGAATTCATATAAAACTGGCAACCGGATACAGCACATTTACATGTAAAGGTTTTCATAAATATGTAAAAATTGTGTTCTGAGGTTTCACCGCCAAATGATTTGATACATTTTTAAAAAAAAGCTCTTTCAAATGGTCTTCTAATGCTCTAACTTTAGCATTATCAGACAAGCATGAGACCTACACCATACCCCACCTCTTCCTGTAACATGGTTACTGCAATATTTTCTTGTGCAACAAATTAAGAGCAATGTGAGCAGCAAGACTGTTTACACGACAGAAAGCTGTTCATACGATGTCTAACACACTGAGTGACTGACTATGATGAATGACTAAATACTTTGTCTATGTCAAATATAAACTTCGCACAAATATATATTGTAGGGTCATCATACACCAGTAAAATATAACTAAAACACATTGAAATCAGCATCTTCACCTTTCACATACTCCACAGTCGCAATATACATACATCATCACTACTGTCTTATGAACCTGACCTTTCACCTTTCCACATATTCTTCTGTTACACCCGTCTCCATACATTGCACCGTTCTCTTTACACTGTACGTGTCCAGCACGACCCTCACATACTTCTCTGCCACTCCTGACTGTTGTACACAGTACCACCGTTCCTCCCTAAGTACCCTATCATATGCTTTCTCTAAGTCCACTACTGTGACTTCTTCTGAACTTTTCTACTTACACTCCCAGAGCAGAAATTGCACCAGTGGTTCTTTTCCTGGGCATAAAACCAAACTGCTGTTCACTGATCTTAACCTCTTGTCTCAGCCTCGCTTCTACAACTCTCTCCCAGACCTTCACTGCATGGCTGATCAACTTTAGGCCTCTATAGTTACCACAGCTCTGCAACCCACCCTTGTTCTTGAAAATCGGTACCAGTACACACTTTCTGCATTCGTTAGGCATCCCCTCATTCTCCAGAATTGTTATAAACAACCTGATTAAAACGTCCACTGCACTCTCCCCTGAACACATCCACACCTCCACATCCTCCTCAAGGTTGACCTCACTTCCTCCTCACTAACTTCCTGATTTCCATTTTCCTTGTGGGTATAATAAAAACAAGTGTAATGTTTCCGTCTACATGATTATTTTTACCTTACATCACCTGTGTCCCCTGCATCCAGGCACAGCTGTACACCTGCAGGTGTCAGTGGAGCTTCAGCTGGATGAAGCACAGACTCTGAATCTCACCTTTCAAGGCGACAGTCATTATGGCAATTTGGTCCTTTATTCAGCTGAGCAGCCAGAGGCAGATGAGGAGGATGGAGGAGAGACTGATGAAAGACCGAAGGTATTTTACTGCTGTGCCCCCGTCCCACCTACCTCAGAGTCAGCCAGTCAGGGCCGCTGTCTTCTCTGGCTCACCAATCAAACCCTTTTCACCACAACAGCAGAGGAAAAGCTGCCATGGAAACGCCAAGAGAGAGGTTGGTGTCTTTTGTTCCCCATGTGGTCAGTGCAGAATCAGTCTGATTCCAACAGAGGGGAACTGACCACTCAGTTCTCACTCAGGAAAGTGTGATTCAATTTTGTTTAAACTGCTGCTCTCTGTCAGTTCACAATAGAATCATGTTTTTCGCTTGAACAGTTATTTCCCAATTCTTGCCCAGTTCAGTGTCAGCTCTGTTTCTTCATCTCTGTGTATGATCTGTCGCACTTTCCCCCAACGTGCAGTACATCTCTGTCTACAGCTGAATTGACTTTAGGTTTTGTTTTCTCTCTTGTTGGCTCCCCTGACAGTGCTACAACTGTAACTTATATTTGGCACTAGGAGATAATGAAATTCTGAAGCCCATCTTATTTTTATCTTTCTGCAACAATTTTCACAAAACTTTCTCCTAGACTGTTTCTCTAAACAGAGCGACATTGCTTTTTTTATTGGTTTTAGTCTATTGCTTTTTCACCACTTTAATCTTCTATGTTCAATATTTCAAATTATGATCTTTTTATTTTAACGTGACATTTGTTGTTTTTAGTGTCATTAAATAATATTTAAATGCAAACTAAATCCAGATTTCCGTTCCTGTTTATGTTCCAGATGAATGGCAGTGTATTCTCCTGGTGCTGTGGCTGGCTCTTCTGTGTGTGATACTCCTGACTGTAGTCTCTACTGTACTTCAACAAATCTTCCTGTCGCGAGGCGTCAACAGTAAGAATGAAAAACATACAAGTACACGTTCTCTGAGGTGTTTCTGTACCACAACTCATCCTCAAATGTACATTTTGTGCATCAGGAAAACCTGCTGTTCACACTGTTCACAGCTCCAAGGGTCAGCAGTTTAACGGTAAATTCATTTCCCCTTATTTCCTATTTTATCATTTCCTATAAAATCCCATAGTTTCTCACTTTCCTCCCTCGGTCCTTGAACTCAAATTTTATTTTCTGCTGCAGCAGTTTACGAGTCTCCAGGTTGTAGGTATTTTCTACATGCAGTATAAAGACATATTTCAGAGAGTACTGAATACCAATGCTGTGTTGAACTAACACAGCAATCTGACCTGTTTTTGACAAGTAATACTGATCAACACAGTAACGATAATAAATTAGACTTTTTCTTAATACGTCTGGTTAAAATTTGGTTGTTCAGTTGCACAGTATATGATGTAAAACTGAATCACCTTTTTGTCCCTTACAGGCTCACCTCCTAAGGTGAACAGCTACAGACGTAAGTCAGGTAAGAGCCTAAATACACACAACAAACTCTGTGGTCTTTACTATGAAACCATTTAATGGATTTACTGTTTTAATCTTAATCCCTTTCAACCCCCTAGAACTGTCACCTATAGAAGAGGCTTATTCCCAAGGTAGGTGTTTACACGTAAAACTTCAGTGAGACAAACGACACCAGGTAATGCCATTGTGAGTCCCTGTTAATGTGTTCATGTTCATTTTTCAGAAAACATACAGACTCAGCTGGATGAAGAACTCAGCCATGGTGGTAAATAGAATGTCTTTGAAAAGGATACTGTAGACGCTGACACAAGCACACTTTTAGTTCTCTACGGGTGAAATAAGACACAGAAGAAACCGACCGAGCTCTTAACTCAAACCTCTTAACCAAAAATTAACAATGATTTTGGATAAACTATATATATATATTATGTTTAATACGTATATGTATAAATATATAATATACAGTACATACATACACACACACGTATATACTGTATATATATAATACTATTATTATAATGACAATAATAGTATTATACTAGGTTTGGTGCTGTATGAAAAAGTCCTTGTTTATTGCCCTTATTTGACAGTGTTATTACAACAGCCCTACAGTATATCTGTAATGTAGCTGTTGTGTCTTGGACAATTTGCAGTCTGCTCATCACATGCCTTTGTTTTGTTTTAGCACAACTCCATCTCCGGGGACAAACATCCACCCGTTTTGTCAAGGAAGCAGAAGGAAATCGAAAAAAGTACGAGGGCTACACCAACTGTTAAATAAAACTAATAATAGAACACCTGAGACGTGGTGGAAAATTATTTATTTTTAATATCTCATCAAACAGTCTTTGGGCATTTTATTAAAGGGCACTTTTAGTACATTAGTAAACGCTCCATAGTTAAATTAACGACTTGGCTCTAGAACATTCTGCAGCTCTCATTAAAAACCATTCAGGTTCTAGGGCAGAAGCTGAACTGAGTAAAAACATTATGACAGAACTGAGTAATGCTTTCTTTGCATAATACCAGCCAACATTTCCTCCCCATGTGTCTCCGAATGAGTAAAGGCAGACGCAAAGAAGAGAAAAGCAGCGTGATATCACACTGAGGTTCAATTATCTGCAGTCTGGGAGCTAAACGTCAGTTTGACACCCAAGATTAAAAAGAAACAGATGAGCTGTAGGCACCTGGTGATTGCTGCTTCAACGCCACAGGTGGTCAAATAAAAGAGGGAAATCTGAGAGGGAAACATATTTAATGTATTTTGGAAATTAAGACCTTTAAGAATCAAGGGTAAAATATATTCCAGAGGGAGAAAATATTTGTGAAGCCTCCGTCTTTTTCATCTAAGATTCTATCAGGGTTTCTGCCTTTATTTTCTATATATTTTCAATGTAGCAGCACAGCGACAAAAAACTAAGAAAAAATCATTACACAAAAAAGGGAGGGAAATTAACTAAATTGGGAAAAAAACAAGATATATGAAATATTTTAGTGTCAGTCTGGGGGAAGGACAGTTTACGGTTGGCTGCTTCAGTGAATGAAACAATAATAAAGTAGAAACTGTAGTGTGTAATTACTAACACTCTATACCTACATCTATTTTTAAAGAACTTACAGAAGGTAAACAAACCTCACTACTGTTTTATAGAGATCTCTGTACATTATAGAGTCATTATGACATCTGGTTCAGTTCTATATAGAGATTTGTTTTTCTTTCAGTCATAATCAATCACTGCTTTGAACTTCTTTTGGTTCCTCAAAGCAAAAAATATCAACAACAAAGCAGAGTGTAAATAACATTCATAGAGGAACAGAAAACACACGTGTGTGAATGTGAATGGACTTCCATACATCACGGTACTGTACGTGACTCCACATGCTCCTGTCAATTTAATATTTACCTCCAGGATTATATTCTGCAAATATAAATATATTCTGCCTCTGATGTTGCAGCACATACATACATACACTAGGACTTCACCTGGGGCAGTCTAATCCTCTACACCTCACTGTACATTAACACATACATTAGGACAAGCAGGTGATCGGCCAGTAGGTGTGTGTGTGTGTATGCGTGTGTGTTATTGCTGCGTCTGCTCTGCTGCTTCTGTGCTGCTTTGGCAGTGTTGGCTGTGGATGTGGGAAATCTGGAGGACAGGTAGGAGCAGCTGAAAGGCATTGTGGATGTAGTTGTTACTGTTGGAGCCCTGTGGAGACAGTACACAGTCACTGTCATTGTCTCTGCATCTGATCATAACGTCATGGAAGAATTTATTTATTTAGGGAAACAAAAGGCACAAAATCATATGATAGTGAGTCCTTCAGTCATGTTCACGAACCACTAGAACTGTATGGTGGTGTTTTATCAATACTGCCCCCTGCTTGTACTCCTATCCATACACATGTCTATTGTAAGTGATAGGGATTGTTCAGGGTTATGGGGCAAACTGAGGCCAACCTCAGCAGCCACCTGCCCAGGGTGGGGTAAACCCTGGGCAGTTCACCAGTCCGTCACAGGATCACACACAGGGGTCACCAACTGTATTTGTCCCAGGACCAGAATTTTTCTGGACAGACACCTCAGGGGCTGGACGCTCAAATAAAATTGAATTTGTTGATTATTTAATTAACATTTAATTAACCAATAAAACATATTGTCACTCCCCTGGTGGTCAGACATGGGTATTGATATTAGTTTTGGGTTGTAAAGTAAAAATGTTTCTGCATATATTTTCTTAAAGCTAGAACTAGAAAATATGCAGATGCAGTATTTCACCTCATACAGTTTGTAACTGTGATGATGATTTCTTATTGCCAAATAACTTTCAAATTAATCACTAGTGTGTTCAGGTATTTTTCATCTTGTTTTTCCCCTGCTCAACCAGCGTACTGCAGTAAAGACCTAAATCATTATTGACTTCTAGTGCAGGGACAGATTTGGTCGTGCTAGGAGTCAGAGAAACCCTGGTGTAGTATATGTATTAATATCTTAGCTGTTACTAGACAGTAGAATCTAGGGAGGTCAGTGGGGTCTCAGTCTGTGTTGCTGACCAGAGGAGAATGAACCACATGTTCTTAACTTATTAACTATAGGTAGAACTTTCTGAAAACGTAACTTTTAGAAATTTCACTTAAAATATCATGCCTATGTTTCATTAACAGCTTATAATAGGTGTTTGTAGAGTATCATATATCATATTTGTGTTTCTCACCTCCAGGAGGACACGGTCCACCAGTGGATTCAACTCCTCTGCTTTCCTCTGAGCCTGGGAAACAGGAATCAGCAGCAAAGTAAATATTTCACATCATACAAAATGGAAGTACAAACATTTATGAGGCCGCATCAGCATTAGCACGACTAATGTTTCACAGTGTTAAATTTTTATTTTTTACTTCCAAAATAATCACACTGTTGTTCGGCTGAAAATGCAGATATACTAGAGAAACAGAACCCTGCCCAAATTAAGAGGCTTTTTTATATTTAATTCTGGTTCTAAAATAAAACGGCACAACAGCGACCCCAAGTGTAAGTCCGGGTAAATCGTTTGGCATTTGATATTATGAAGGCATTGATTAAAATCAAATCTTTTCAAACTTTTTTCCTTTATAAGAGGATTCATCAAATAAATACAGTCTTGAAAATTATCAGCAAAATATGTGCTTATACTGTTCTTATTATAACTTATGTTTCATGAAAAAAAAACCCAACACTTTCACCGACACCTACCCCAACAATTAGCAGCGTATCAGAAAACTTCTTGGCCAAACAACATTCCACTCCCCTCCGCAGGGCGCAGGTCAGCCTGAAATAAAAATGTGGACATGAATAAGACAGTGTGGCGTTCCTCAAACACGCACACACGGGCCCCTGTCACAGTAGTGTCCTCACAACATTGTGACAGTGTTATAAAAGGGCCCATAAATATAGCTTTACCTGGTGTACAAACACACATACACACACAAACACACCTGGTGAGAATGTGAGCCTGGTCTCTGGCTGGTTTCTCTAATTCCTGGCCATGGAGAATCAGCTCTGCCACCTTGTGGAGCTGCTCGATGCTGCGAGCTGTCACTTCTGCCAGACTGCCGACTGAGGACAGGTAGACAGCCTGGGGAGTGGATAATACACAGACACACACACACACATGCATTCACCCATACTGTAATCAGTCTGTGGCAGCAGCGGTAAGAACATCATGTAATAAAACATCCAGAATATACAGGACAAATATGTCTTACGTGAACATTTTTCTAATGGAGAAACATACATGTTTCAGAGAACGACTCTAAATCTCATGTGTCCTCACCTCTACGGATCTGCAGTCATTCTTGTCTTCCTTCATCCCCTCCTCTGGCTCCCCATCCTTCTCCCTCCCCTCCTCCTCCTCTTCAGTCTTCACAGACATGGCCTGTCCTTCCAGCTGCTCGTGTGTTTTCACTCCATCTGTCTTCACAGTGACAGGTTGTTCCACCTTGCTCACCCAATCATGGGCTCTCATCCGAGCCTGGAGAAGTGGAATAATCAGACATCAGCTCTGGGTGGCAGGAGGTCCACTCCCTGATATACAATATGACAGGGCTGTGCATATAGAGTACAGTAGAGTACGTGCCACTATATGTTAATGAAGCTCCTTCATCAGAGAGCTTTGTTATATTCTAGCTAAATATTTATGCATCCCACAATGAGGAAATTCACAGTGTGAGTCACAGTGTGAGCAGCATGTGTTTGTTGCAAACACATGCTGCCACAGGAGGCGCCATTATATGTGCTGTACTGCTGGGGCTCAAACCCAAGCCCTTCTGTGTGTAAGGCAGACGTGCAAGGCAGGTGAAATTTAACGCACTCTAATTCAGGGGTCACCAACGTGGTGCCTGGGGGCACCTGTTAGCCCCCATGGCCTACCTAAGGTGCCTGTGGGGTATGTTTTAAAAAAATAAAACTAGTCAACAACAGGCTGTAAAATGGTGCTGTTACTGTTCTTTCTGAATCACTTACACTTGCAGTGATATTCAAATGGCTGCTATTGTATGTCCCAGAAGTTGACACAGCATTAGTTTTCTTTTTTATTTATTATTACTTTGTTCAGGAAGTCTTTGTCAATCAAGTATCTCTTCGTATAAATTAGTACCCTTGAAGTAGCTCTGAGTTTCAAAAAGGTTGGCGACCCCTGCTCCAACGGATGTTTCAAGAACAGAATCAAACACCTTTGCCACTACACTAGGGCAACCTGATATACAGTATGTATGTGAATATGTTTGTGTTGGTGTGTGTAAGTACCTTATTAAGTTTGTCTGGTGTTGCAGCAACATGGAGCTCAAACAGCAGCTCAGTAAGAACACTCAAGAACTCCTCTCCATCAGCAGCTGGACACACACACAGACATGGAATATATTTAGCCCCTTCAGAAGTCTGACAGTGCATTTTTTAGCATGAATGTGTTGAAGACATGGACCATATATAATAAATGAACATGTCCTTGTGCAGCCTCTGAAGTCCTGACTGGTAGTGACTCCACGTACAGTACATGTAGGACATGAGGATTTCTTCGACCTGTTCCCTAGTTTTAGGTCCAAAAATAAAAATCTATAAAAAGCTAAACTGCTGCGAAAACAGTAAACAAGGACTAAACAAAAAACTGATGCTGACGGTGAGTCTGACCATAGGCTAGCAGAGGAGGAGGAGGAGCTTCATCTTCCTCCAGTGTTGGTGGAATTGTTTACAAGTGACACAAATGGAAAATGTTAGCGTAATAAGATTTAATACCGTATCTTGTTACTTTGTTATAAGTTAATTTGGCCTGTGTTGTTTCCAGATTAAATCTTTGTGCTTGGATTTCTGTGAAAAGTAAATGCAACTTAAACATAATTTCTTTTCCTTTTTGAAATGCATTTTTGGACGCAGCAGCTAAAACTGGCTATGGTATAATCCAGAAATATGGTGGAATTTTTAGAGACGATTTTTACTCCCCAGAACCTAAACCTGTTACTGACTTCATAAAATAGAAAAAAGAACCAAGCTGCCTGTCCATCGCACAGATTTCTATTTATAGTTACTGAAACCAGGGAAGAACTTGAAGTCTATTCAGGAACTTATCACTTTGCAACAATACCTTGTCACTAGAAGGACACGTCAATTTTTTATATACGGTCTGAACCTCTGAATTTCGACTGCATGCTGAATTGGTGTTGATTCCTAGATTACAGCAGGAGGTTCATATGCACTGAACACATGCAGATTTAATCCTGAGATTATTCCTGTAGTTCTCGGTGGTCGGCCCCTGAACACTAGCACTGGATCAGACCCTGAACACAGACATGTCTGTTGACTGGCCATCGTCACATAGTCCCATTTTACATATGGTTTGTATAATAAAAAGTGACAGGATGCTGATGTCATTGCATGAGTTTAAAGTTAGTTCAAAGACAAACATGTTCTTATGGTGAAGTTTCACTTTGGTGAACGACCAGTTAAAATAAAAAGGTAAAGTAATATGTGGCTGCAATAAACTTAGATGTGATCAATTAATCAAGTGATTACCAATTAATAACTGACTCGTTGCTTTGAGTGAGTTGAGCGTATAATGAAAGTGTTTGGACTAATTAAATTTCAGCTCCTTAAAATTTTATGTGTTTTTGCTCCTCTGTGTGAGAGAACTAATTATTGTGGTTCATAAATAATAAAAAATGGAGTAGGATTCTCTCTCTGTCTCCTGATTAGTGTAACTTTTATGATTTCTCTGCTCACAGATATAGATTAAACACGAGGCCAGGTTGAAGCCCTGCTGCAGTTCTCAGAGGACAAACACGTTGTTTAACCAGAGTAAAAGTCAGCTCTAATCCAGTGTTGGACCATGTGTGACCCTTGTGCACAGGTATCCCTGATCCTGGGTCAGTGTTCAGGGGCCACCTCTACCTCCAGCAGGTCAGGGTCACTCACAGAGGGGGGTAGAACAGTGTAATTGTGAATTTAGATCACCGTTATCCTGTGTTTGTTCCCTGACTTTTCCTCCTTCTCCTTCTTCTTCTTCTTCCTTCTCCTCCTCTTCTTCTTGCTTGATGAAAATGTCTTTGATTGAAATCAGGTCTCTCTTCACCTCCTCCTGCTCCTCCTCCGTCAGTGAAGACAGGAAGGCTTGGACCTAGAAGGAAGAACATAAAATTGGACGTCAACTGTGTTTCTGCAAGTGGTTAATCCAGTGGTTAATCCAGTGGTTAACAAGTTGTGACATCATCACTTGAACCTTCCTTCTGTTTTTCGTCTCCCTCCAATCATCTCTCCATGCCCCAACCAATGATGCCCGCCCCACACTTTGAGAACCACCAGGTTAGTCCCCAGAACTGGACCAGGAGCCAAAAAATGTTAGTTTGTAGTACTTTCAACTAACTAATGAGACACAATATTAAATCTATATAGTAAATCTGTTGCACTATGATGGTGTCTGCTTCACACACACACACACACACGTGCCTCACCTTAACTTCACTCTCATTGGACAGAATTTCCAGGGCCTCGAGGTGAGACAAGCCCTGGTAGTCGTCAAAGAGAATACCATAGTGGGCTGTGGGTGCACTGATGGGCTGGTTGCTCAGACGTGCACGCTCCTTCTCCTTGGCCTCCTTCAACATCTGTAAAATCACAGGAAAACTCCCATAATGCACCATGTCAGACCTGATGTACAGTACAGTCTGTGTGGTAGTACATTAACAATGTTTTATATCAAGGAGGTTTTGAGTCCTATGTGTGTGTGTGTGTGTGTGTGTGTACCTGACTGAGTGAAGCTGTTTTCTGCATCAAAGTCTTGGTCTTTTTAAAACCTGGGTCGCTCTCAGCCAGGACGGTCATTGTCTTCTTTCCAATGAACTCCAAGGCGTCCAGACCTCCACTGATGACTGACTTGCCCTTCGACACACAAAGAAAATGATGATTATTTTTAGATGAGTTACTGAACTGTTGCCTTTCCTTCACAGATGTTAATTAATTTGTAGCAATTAATTAAAAGGAACAGTCCATGTTTTTTTAAGACACGGCTGACACAGAGTCAGTGCACTACATTCTGAGTCCATGTTTTTTTAAGACACGGCTAAGTCAAGCACTGACACAGAGTCAGTGCACTACATTCTATAACACAAATATGTTGTTGTTTTTGTGACAATTTTTATGGAACCTAATAATTTTGTTGACTGTTTCAAACCTGATTTTGATAGATTATTGGTAACACTGTTTAATTCCCAGTTTGAGACTGAAACTTTATAATCAGTTCTGGAGTGTGTATTTGTATGCAAGTACCAATACTCACTGTGTTCTGTACAGCATGTGTTATAGTTGAAAACACTCCTCTGCTCTGGGCTGCAGCGCTTTGACTGTTTGATTCCACGGGGTCAGACGAGTCTTCTTCTCCCTCCTGTCTCTTCATCTCTCCTTCTTGTTCCTCCTCTTCTTCCTGTGCCTCCTCTCCCACTGAAGTTTTGTGAAGACGCAGAGCCTCTCCTGCCTTCACCTTAACTGAGGTCAGACTCTGACCTGCACGTACACACGCATATATATTGACACAAGAACAAAAACGTGAACTTGTTTTAACTGCCAGAGTCACGTGGGTGTAGACGTACCCACTGAAGATGTGGCACTGCTCAGGAGAGATTTTCCCCAGGAACTCCAGCCTCCCCAGCCTTTATCTATTTCCTTATGTGATCCCTGAGCACACATAAAGATAAACACAAACACATTTAGCAAAAACAATCTCTTAAAAAATACTTTTCATCATTAAAAAACAAAGAAAAAAGCAAACACCAACCTCCAGATCTTCCTCTGCAGCCTCTGACTCATTCTCCAGACTCACAGGTTGATCACATTCGATCACATGACCCTCAGTGGGTGCATCGCTCTCCTGGTCTGTCAGAACGTCCGAGGCCTGAGCCTTGGTGGTAACAGTGTCACCCTCTGTGCTTTTGTCCTCAGTTGACTGCAGCAGGCTGTGACTGTCAGGAGACTGTGGAGTGTCGGAGGCTGGTGAAAGTTCTGATGACGTTTCCCGACGGGGGTCAGGGTCAGTGTGGGGGGGCTGGCCTATTGATTTGGTGGAGTCTGCATGTGCAGACGGCTCCGTGGATGAGTCAGCAGCCTGAGACATGATGATCTGTGGGAGAAGAGGTTCAAGAACATATCTCAGTGTTCAGTGCAGTTCTCAGTCCAAGACAAGTGACTTGCCCCCACACTGCTGACTCAGAGTCATGACACTGGGAGACTTGAACATGAGGATAGTCAAAATTTCCTTCAGTGACTTGGAGTCTGACTTGAAAAGAGTAGGGACTGGACCTAAGCTATGTTTAAATGTATCCACTGTGACTCAGACTTGGTGAAAACCTTAAAGTCTTTCTATGAGCGGCAATTCAGGCAACCATTTTGCTGCTGCCTTGTCCATGTCCTCTTTAATGGTTAAGCAAGTAAATAAATGAAACAAATTAAAGGACGCACACAAAAAAATATTATATATATATAGGGGAAAGAGCTGCTTATCTAGGCAGCAGCCACGAGAAGTGGAATCTGATTATGATTATGTCGCCATCTAGTGGTCGTTTACAGTTTACATTGCCTTGAGTTCTGTCACGTTGTGAATCACTGAGTTTTACTGTTTTCTTCTGCAGCAACAGCAACAATATTAGAGACTACAAAACACGGGAACACTTTTCTAAGAACAGACAAAAAATAAGAAACCCTAGATGACAGTTTGATATATTAATACTGAAAAAAAAAAACGGTTGCTTTGGTTCGGCTGCCAAAACAATCATCCCGGTCAATAAATATAAGGACAGAATGGAACGCAGTTTACTGACTGTCAACGATGTTATATTCCTCAATTCGTTAAAGTTATACTGGAGGAACAGTTCTGTCACCGCCTGATACTTCAACAGTCTGAAGACACTACCACAACAACAAGTACAACAACGTTACTGTAAAGAATGACTTCTTTTGTTTCAGGCGCCGTCACAGCGGCGTTATTATTGACAGGTTTGGTGTCACTTAAACCAGTTACAAACACTGTGTCAACGCTGCTGCACCTGAATTAAAACATAACTTCTCTCTGAAACTACTTTTCACTTGACACAGACAAAGTTTAGCAGGTAAAAAGCTGAACGCCGGTGTTACGTGTGTTTATTTTTATTGAACGTGAAAGTGACGGTGCAGCTCACCAGTTTGATGTTAGACAGCGGCTCCTCTTCCGCCCCGCCACGTCGGCAGGCCGCGATGACTGGACCCAAAGAGTCACAGCTCGCAAGATGGTTCCCTGTCAGACCACGGCTGTGCACAGACATGGGCGTTCTAAATAAGTTTGGAGGCTCCAGTCTAGAGAGTACGACCCCCCAGGGTCCCCTCACTCACCGAACAGAAACTTGATTACTATTTAATTTGAGTGCCTTAAAAAACATTTTCACTGTCCATAATTACATAATTACAAAATCACAGTCTGATTCTGGTGGATGTCTTAATGTGTGGGCCACTTCATGTTGTAATAGTGGGAACTTAACCCCCATAATATCCGACCAATAGTTCTTACAGATAGGAATAAATATAAAATATACGAGGTAAAATTCCATATGCAATTAATGCAAATAAAAAATACATCTGTATGTATAGTAACAATGACAAGAATCAGCCTGAGACATGAAACAGTGACTCTCACTGAAAACACCGCTGCCAACACTGGGAAACAAAGGACTCCAACAAAATGCGCAACTGTTCAAGTGGACAATATCAGTGTTTGTTTCCTGACTGGGAGCTGCCGTCTGTCATTCTCTCAACCTCTCAACCGAAGTCCACAGAAAAAAAAAAATCAATGTTACTTTTTATCTCCGAGGAATGTAACTGCAACTGCTCTCCACTGTTACCATGGTTTATGTGACAGAAAGAAATCCAAACAAGGAAGTTCTCTTCATGACATTAAAATACTCGATGTAAACACACATTCGTAAGAAAAAAAAGGGGAATTCTGATAAGATTGCTGCATTTTCTGATCTTAGAACATCTCCTATATAACCCTGATGGTCTCACGTATCTTCACAGACATTTATCTAAATAACCAATATTGTTGTGGAAAAATAGGACATAAACTAATTCACAATCGATATACGTCTGAAAAAAACCCTCCATATGTTACAATAATGACAAAACTTTTCACATACCAAAGATATCATCGTGTATTTGCTCCTACAACGTCACAGCGGCTCGTTGGTCTAGGGGTATGATTCTCGCTTAGGGTGCGAGAGGTCCCGGGTTCAAATCCCGGACGAGCCCAAATTTTCTTGGTAGCCGGAAATACATGTATTTGACGGAGTACCAATTAAACAGGTCGATATACAAACGGTGTAATGTTAAACTCCACCTTTTAAAGCCTACAGCTTATTGGTTATCTGTTTGGAAGAAACAAATAGAGTAGAATAATCTCTTCAGCTCTGTTTCAGTCTTACCATAGCCAGTCATCTGGGACCATGTTACTCATCTGTTGTCACACCTACCATTTCAAATTTCAGTTCTTTGACAACAACCACGAACCCATCAGCCACTCTAGCTGCACATATAACAGGCTCTATTACATTACCTGTTTTTATATTTGATGGGACTGATTTATCTGTGTAGTAAAAAGTCATCCTTATTAAAAATAATTATATCTACTGCTTTATATAAGAAATAATGTAAAAGTTACGTTTACATTTGTGTGGAAATGTATTAAAATAAAGTAACACACACATCAACATGTCACACACAGAGTAAAAAAGACACAACACAGAATAAAATGTCAATAAGTTTATTAAGTGGTATTAATATTCTGTTTTAAAATAAATGCAACATTGCAGAGAGACCTGTACAGCTATATGTTCACAGTTTAACATGTTCCCTTGGAATAGCCATTGTTAAGATTAAGAAATAGGCTGAATTACCGACATGACGTAGAAACGTAAAATAGACGTTATAAGTATCAAAATCGTTCTGAATAAAAACCTTAAATTGCCCTTTCAGTCTAATAATTAATAATTATATATGTATGTATGTATACAAATATACATACACATATACTGTATGTACAGACATAGATATGTAGATGTTACATCTAATATTGCTGAGATACAAAAACATATACATGCAAAACTGCAGAGTATCCAGAAGCAAATGCAGATGGTTGAGCCGCTACATTCAGTGTTGTGTTGGTGTTTGTTTGTTTACGTTTGGAAGTACAAACAATCACACCTTCCTGTGAAAAAAAAGTCTACAGGTTTGTGATGAAACTTACCAGCAGTTTCACTTTGAGAAAGAAAGGTTTGATGTTGGTAATATTTTATACATAGGCTGAATGTTTGTATGGATACACAATGTGTGTGTACGATGTTTATATATAGACACATATAAATAAACATGTAAGGTATGTAAGTGGCTGCATATAAAGTGCACTTAGGAAATGTACAAATACACTACACACAAAACTATCTTGATCTGCAGAAACTACAAATGCTTTTAACTGTGGTTGCATTTCTTTCTTTTTAAGGTGATGGTGTTTCACAGCCTTAGATTGTAATCATACAGGTGTTTTACAATACTGAGCAATGTGGAATTGAATACCATTTTAAAAAAGGACTGTTTCTCAAATGGTGGGTCTGGACACCAAAGTAAAACAGAGGGTTCTAATATATCAGATCTGTTTGATGAAGTTCTATACAGAACATCTCATAAAAAACATTTTTTCCTGTTAAATTCTTCAATTGTATATTGTAAATCTTTTGGAAAAGAAAGTATTGAATTTTATATATATATATATATATATATATATATATGGCTGGAATGTATTATTTTTGATAAACCACCCCTAAGACATGTTGGTGAAATACATCTATTCCTAAACATCAAAGAAAGAGCAAATTTCCCTGCTTTGCACTTTATACTTTTTCCATCTTAAAGTGTCATAGAATAAAAAGGCTACCACGGTGTCACAAAGCAAAGCAATAGTTCATAGATCGTCAAACTGTGACATTAGAACATTGGTCAGATGTTTCTTCTGTCCTTTACCCAATCGAGTGATGCATTCTCTCAACTAACACAATAATGCCCCGTGCAGCAATGTTCACATTTCTAAATGACATGAAAAAAAACCCCACTTCACTCTGACAATGAATGAGACCCCAGACCACAAAGGTTTTTTAACCAAAATACCAAATACACACAAGACTGCTTTAATTAAGTGCATGTATTCTGTTGTGTGCAATCATATTAAAGTATTTACAAGGGTGTGCGAGCGTTAGCTTCCTGTTTGTGGTTGTATTTTAAGTTTACACTTCATGATTTGATACAGGCAGATGAGGTGAGTGATGGCTCCAGGATGAGTATGATTCCACAGGTAGCTGTGTTGGTGAGAAAGAGCTGAAAAAAACATATGTATGACACAAAGCACAGTGTGATGTGATACATTCTAGAAGGTTTCACATTTATTTGGCATAGCTAGCATGTATGAATGTATGTATGTGTGTGTGTGTGTGTGTGTGTGTGTGTGTGTGTGTGTGTGTGTGTCCAAGTCCACAATCTTTGCTGGGGTCGCGAAAAAAATAAGAAGCTTGAGTGTGCTGTGCTGCTTGAACAAAGCAGGTGCAAATGCAGTTTGGTTCCATGGCCGCAAGAGGACGCTGCACACTGACTCAGGCCAGCTGAAACACTGTGCAGCCTTTATTAAAAAAAAAAAAAAAAAAAAAAAAGGTTAGTATTTGTACTGGTGAAGGTCTGGAACATCACCAAAATCTCTAAAACAGTCAGGAGGAGCTGAAGACAAATCTAAGGACACCAGCAGGTCAATCTGGCTACTGAGGTGAAAAGGTCTAAACTTGCACCCTGAGGAACAGGCCCCCTCCCTGTCAGAGTGCAAGGTTTAAGGTCAGCTCTTTAAGAGTAAAAAAAAAATCTAGTCCAAGTCTGATATTTAAACAGTACTGAGATCTTTTCAAGTGTCTCCCAGAGCTTTTTCTTTTCTTTTCTTTTTTCACACCAGCAGGTGGCGTTTCTTGTGCAAAGCCAGGTGGTCAGAACGGGAGAAGCTGCGCTCACAATCTGGACACTGAAACGGCTTGACCCCTGTGTGTTTCCGGAAGTGTCTCGTCAGCTCATCTGAACGTGCGAACTTCCATGTGCAGCCCTCCCACATGCACTTGTAGGGTTTCTCACCTGGACAGAGAGAAAAGGGACGGAGGTCAGAAAGATGTTTACATCAGGGGAGTCTGAGTCTCAACCAATTGTTTGATTTTTTTTACAGTACAGGTACAAATGTTATTTTTTAATTTCTTAAATTTAGCGGAAACTAGATGCTAACGCTACAGATAACCACTAGAATTAACTGGTGAATGCTAACAAAAGCAAACAATTACTTGCCCACAAAGAAAATGGATCCCCTAATAATAATAGTAGTAATAATAAAACTATAAAGTCAGCCTAGAACTGCTCAAAATAGTTAAGATTAATCTTAATTAAGATTATTAAACAGCTAAAAGGTCATAGACAGCTTGACCAAACATTTGGAAATGAATTTCCTCTCACCAGTGTGCGTCCTGCGGTGAGCTTTAAGGTGGGAGCTCTTTGTGTACACTTTGTTGCAGCCGGTGAAGTCGCAGCGGTGAATTCGTCTTTTCTTCAGGGAGTCGGGGGATTCAGCAGGGAGAGGGTGCTTGGAGCCTGCATGGACTATGACTGAAGGGTTGTTTCCCCTAAAGAGGACAAAGAGAGGAGGAGGAAAAAATGAAGAGTTAGAACTGATGTCAAAAGTCATTCTCGGAATTGACCTAAAGAGGGAGCCGATGTGTTGCGACAGCTGCCTCTTCCAGGATGTTGTGTACAGTTGAATTTAGCTGAAGCTCCTCTCAAGCGCAATAACAACTTTTACCAGTCAGGAAGTTAAAAACACCTCCTGCCTTTTCCAGTCTACCACGCCTTTCCTTTGTTCCATCACCTCCTGCTTTTCTCTTCTCTTTATTCCACCAGTCAAGTCATTCTTCATTACGGGAAACTTAATCTGGATTTTGTTTTCTGTGTCACACAGCTGAATATTCAGAAGAATATAAAAAATTAAACGAAAAGAATGTGTAACACAATCTGCGACTCTGCAACAGTCCATCTGGCCACACACCCAGCCTCAACAAGCAGATTAGGTTTCTAACATTGTTCACTCAGCTATTCTGCAGAACCCAACAACAATATGGACGGAGAAGAATGGCAGGGACGTGACTCAGCGAAAGAGCACTTTTAAAGAGTGTTTCGTGGTCACAGAGAAGAAAGGATGAAGCTGTCTACGCAGATGAAGAGTCATCAAGTGAGCCTCAGTTAATGTTCACCAGGGTGTGTGCGTGTGTGCGTGTGTGTATTTGTGTCAGTTAAGAGCAGGTGTCGAGTGTTGAAACATAAATCCCTCACAGATCAGTTCTACATAGAGGAATGTGAAGAAAATCCCCCGCAAAAGCCACACACACACACGCGCACACACACACACACATGCACAGACACGTAAAATTATACGAGTCCAACAATCCCGACCTACTATATAATATACTATAGGTATAGATTAAAATGTCGTTGTTCCAGGACAACAGACACGCCCAGTTGTTTCCCAGTATCTTTTTTAACTACTGCCTCTGTGTGTGTGTGTGTGTGTGTGTGTGTGTCATCATACATGTGTGGGTGGGGTTACGACACAATAAACCTTATTTGCACAGGAACTGAGTGGCAATCTTGCCTGGCCTTAACGTCTACATCTGACCTGCTTTTATTTTTGGTCAGGAAAGACTCTGACTCTGCACAAGATGAAACACTCGTGGCACAAAAGGCCGAGGTGAGGAGGAACAGGAAGCTGGCACGGGAAAGGGGCGTGAAAAGGAGGGGAGGGAAGGAGGCAGAGAAGGAACGAGAGATGCCGGACAATGAGCTAAAAAAAAAAAATTACAGGAAGTGGCAAGCAAGGGCCGGAGGAAATGTGAGGGGGCGGAGGAAGAGACTAGGACGAGAGTGCTGATAAAAAGGTTGTTTACGTCAAAAACGAAAAGTGGATGAGATGTAAAGAGGAGTAGAAATGACCGAAGTGGACACAGGCTGCCTTCAGTCCATCTGTCATGCTGTACACACAGTGTGTGTGCGTGAGAGAAGAGTGAGACTTTGTTTTAGCAGTTGTGCAACTGGTCCTTTGTTAACGTCTGTTAAACAGAAACTCATCTCCGAGCCCCTTGTTTATTTAACGTCTCCTCACGGCTACATGAAGGAAAAACAAAGTCTCACTCGAGCACAGACTCTACACCAACCGTTGACCATTCGCAGACTCTGCACATCTTACACAGAATGTGACAAATTAGTGAAACTAAAACAAATTAATAAAATATATATATTATAATTTTACAACCTGGAGTATCAGTTTTTTTTAAATTTTTTCTTTGTTATCTGTTTTGATGACTACATATAATTCTATAACCTGGAGTATCAGGTTTTTTTAATCCAGATTTCTTTGTTATCTGTTTTGATGACTACAGTCTTTCACTCATGGTTTATGGTTCAGACGTGTTGTTTCCTTAAACAAAGAGTCCCTTCTGTGACTGTGGACTACAGCCCTCAGACCAGGTCCAACACTGTAGAACACAGGTTAGTGTGTGTATACCTAATGATAGTTGGACCAGCTGCAGGACCTGCTGATAAATGATCTGTAAACAGCCAGAGCTGTACAGTGGACTGATCTTCCACAGACTCAGTCCTGGCAGTTATTTATTTGGCTGCAGAAATAAAAGGTGTTCGTATTTCAAACACACGTTTGTCTCACACATAAACATAAAATATATAGCTTTGATTTCAGAGGTAACCAGGTCAACCAGGTGTATTTACTGCCTGGCTGCAGTCATGTGCTTTTGTACAGTGAAGTTACTAATGATAAACTGCAGAGAGAAGAGTAATGATTAACGACATTTCTCAACTCCTTTCTTTGCAAGAATAGATAAAAAAATGCAGCGAGTCACATGGTTATGTCCACAGTGAGGATAAATCTGAGGGAGAAAAGCCGATGTGTTTACTTGACTGTGGTGTTGTAAAAAGAATATGTTGATATTGTTTAAACTGAAATATAAAACATTCATCTCTAATCTTCACACTGCACCTGCTTCTCACAAACAACACATTCTAAGAGGAACAGATGAGGATCCAGTCTCTGTCCACCACTTCCATATAAAGTCAAAGAGGAAGCCCTGCAGCTGACGCTTGTGAAACATTCTGTGCTTCTTTCAAAACCCCGGCGAGTGAGTGACTTACTCGTACGATATCCTGATGACAGACGACTTCATCTCGTGGCTAATGTGGGGGTCGTGAACAAGCTCGGGGCAGGGCTCGGTTTTGATTGACTTGTGCAGCTCATGGGCGTCGCCCCGCAGCTCCAAGGATTTTGTAGAGTGAACTGGGAAAAGAAAAAAAAAATGTGTGAGGTGGTCACCGTGGTTTCACATTCTTTTAATCTGAAATTATACACAAAACAAAGTATAAAGGTGCCAGACAACGTGAAGGAGTGACAGACGAGGTAGAATGACGTGTGGTCACGGCTGTGCAGCTGTTTCCTGGTGAAACCAGGATCCTCTATGAAATAAACTACTATAAAACAAAGATTTTAGCAAATGAGTTCAACATTATTTCCACCTATGAGTAATCTTAGAACGTGATGGCAGACTGTGGGGCAGATTGTTTGAGAAAAGCCTGACATTGGACCAGCTATGGTAGGCATGGGCAAACTAAGGCCCAGGGCCTGATGTGGCCCGCTCAACTTTTTAATCCGGCCCGCCAAACTTTTCCAAATTATATAATTTATTTGTATTATCATTATATGTCTGCCTTTTCCGTGCAATACCAACGTTGCCCCAATAGATGGCACAGAAAAGGCTAAAAGCATTTTAGCCTTTATGCATGACTTTTACATGTCATTTGTCTTAGTTCACATGAACGTTCCATCTATCTGCTATCTGCTAGGCCCACGTGCCAAAAAAAGTTTGCCCACGCCTGATCTATGGCATCGTCAGCAAATTCTCCTAAGACAATTTGAGTCAGTGACGATTCTGATCAATCTATAATGAGTGTCTTTTTAACCAGCCCTCTGTTGTTCTTATCTTACCTGTTTTGTGCTCTCTACTCCTGTGGTGGTCGTCATCACAGGTGACAGGTGGGCTCACCATGATCTGCTGGTGCAGGTGAAGAGGTGAAGGATAGAGGACAGACAGAGGCACCATGACTGGAGACATCATGACCCCGGACCCTTGGATGACCCCGGTGCCTGAGCTGAGGAGAGGGGCCACCATCGTGGGGTATGAGAGCGTGGGCGGAGGGACAGCGTGGGTCGGAGAGGAGCGCAGCTGGGAATGCGGAGGCGAGCAGCGGGGGGAGCCTCGGCTCCCTGTGCTGTGGGGTGAAGGTGGAGAGGAGGCTGGAGAGGAAGCAGAGGAGCAGGGAGGGGAGGAGGAAGATGAGCCGGAGGAGGAGCGCTTGCTGAGAGACAGGTCCACAGGCTCCAACTGGGCGTGCGAGGGGTTGCTGGGGGTGTGGGACTGGCTGAAGGCATGCATGTGTGTGTGGTAGAGGGGAGCAGGATGGGGGAAGATGACTCTGAATTGCTCTGGAGCTTTCACCAATGAAGGGTAGAATGACTGTCGGTGGCAGAAGAAGAAGGAAGACAAAAGAAGAACAGAAGAGCAGAGTTTAAAAAAACCTTCATGCATTGATATGGACTAGATTCTTTTTCTTGGCATATAAAACAGCTTCCTAATAGGTGAAATAACCCCAAGGTCAAGTAACATGGAGGCTCAGTCCAAACCTAACAATCCTGTTTTAGCATCAGTTTAAAACAACATAACATTACATTATATGTAAAAAAACTGGAAAGAACAGAACAAAGTATCGTGACAGAAATATTAGTAATAGAAGGAATCACTGCCAAAACCATCTAAGAAAATAACTTTGGGGATGCTGCCTATGTTTGAAGACAGAGGGGAAAGACGGTGAACACAAAGAACACTGTCCTTACAGAAATAAATGGGTGGAGAATGGATATAGTAAAAATGGTAAAAAAAAAGTGTTAATCTGTGTGCTGAACTGAAGACTAAATTTCCTGCCACAACAACTTAGATAACCCATAAGACAACAACAAGACTGCCAGATAGCGGCTGTTTATCTATGCAACAACATCATAATCTAAGCTTCCTACATTCAGCCAGTGTTTAATTAAAGTCTAACTTGGACTGACTCAACCTGAAAATACTTACAAATAGTTAAATTAGCCATTGGTCAGTAGCCACGGGTTGGGCTGTCATGAGTGCAGTGTGTTTTCCTGTCTAGTAGTCTGCCGCCTGCCAGTGTCCTATTGTATGTTATGTCCACTGTACAGGAGCCTGTTTGTCCAGGAAGGAGTGTGAATGTGGGAACAACTCTGTATAGACACGTAGCAGAAGTCTGCAAGTGTGTGTGTGTTTATTCGTATCTGTGTTTGTTGTAGGTCAAAGATACACAAAACATGCCCTGACATGAATAAGGGAGTGAAACACACACACACATTCACCACAGCCAACAGTTACATTTCCACACATACACACGTGTCTTACCGTCTCCATGTCTGTTTTAGGGTAATCATACATCAGCATGGTTGAGCAGGACACGCACCTGCAAAAAAAAAAAAAAAACACAAGGAGATTTAGAAACTGTTTTTAAAAAAGTAGAAACAAATACAAGATTGGTTTTAGTGACTTTTTTGGAAATTGGTCGTGGTTAAAAACTGTTTGTCTTATTCCTAAATTATATTCACACGCCACTAATAAAGTGACACACACACACACACACTGAGAAGTCGTTTGACACTAAGGAGAAGTATCTGAGACGTTGAGTGTTTCGTCAGACCTGAACCGCCTGTTTCTTAATTTTGACTAAACCACAGAAGACGACAATCGTGAAAATCTTGCATTTATCAGATGACACAAGCAGCACAAACATTTGTTTTCGTAAAGTTCAAAACGCAATTTCAACAAGCCCACAGATAACTGTGGAGCCGGCGCTTCATGGGAAAACAAAGATGTGTCAGGTGTGATGTACCGGGACAGACGCTGCCTGGTGTGGAGCACTGGAGCACGGCAACACACACGCACCCTCACACACACCCTCACAAATCCTGTTCAGATTTGGGATTCAGTGTGTGAGATTTCAAAGGTGGTTTCAGTTACCTTGTCTTTGAATAACCAGGTGCAGCTAGTATGACTGTTTGTGTCTAAATTAGTGTGTTTATGTGTGTGCATGTGAGATCATAGGAGCAACAAACTGTCAAAGAATGTACCCTGAGGGAGAGAGGAGGGTGGAGGGTGGGGGTGGGGGGGGACCTGGAGACAAGTTAGTCTTTAATTATTAACAAATGGTAGAACCAGAGGCCGTCACACCCTTGTGCACGCACACACACACACACACAAAATGTCCAGATGGGGAGCAAACCAATCAGACAGCAGGATGCTTACTTGCTGTTTCAGGAAGGGTGTGAATGTGACGACTGGAGCCTCGCCCTTCACCAGGCTCCAACCAAACAAAGAGACTGTAGGCAGGTGGTTTTTGTGTGTGTGTGGGGGCGCGTGCGTGTGTGTGTGCACATGTCTTTAAGGGTGTGTTTTCTAATCCGGGTTTGTATTGTGCTGTAGTTCAACGCGAGGTCAATCAGTTATTCTATTGTGGTTGTGATCTACAGGGAGGGGACAATCAGAGTGAGCTGTGTGGCAAAAACCAATCACAACAAGAGGAAGTTATCACGGACAGAAACTGCCTCTCAGTTGGGAAATTTACAGGTCAGAGGTTCAGCTGCTTCTCTGTGGTGCATTTATGAATCAGTTAATGTCATCAGGAAACGTGGCCTCATCAAAGACAGTTTTACAAGCTAGAAACTCTCAAACTGAATCATCAGTTCCATTACATATATTCAGATTTAAAAAATTTGCCAGAGTGTAAGTTTCTAAAAAAATAGGGTTAAATCTAGGTTTCAAGGACTTGGGGTCTTCTCGTATTTCTACAAAATATTACATAATAAACAATAATAATAATAGCCATATAGTGGACAATGACATCATTCGTTTTCAGAGCATACTTCTCTCCTCTAAACTAAAGACCAACCCTTCAGTTCTCATCATCCATTAAAATAATTTATGAGAAGATGAGAACTGTTGTCAACAGGTTTTCTCTCTGTCTGTTCCGGTGTAACAGGGACGTGATGTGATTTATGTAGTCTGAGGCAACAAGACATGTTAATAACTGAGCTGCAGTCACACTAGTGCCAAACTCTCAAGACTCTCTGGTGACCGAAGGAGCGTACGTCTGTGTGTGACACAGAGATCATCTCACCCGTTCTGTACCGCGGGCCACTGAAGTTGAAGTAGTTAAGAGCTAAACTATTCTTTACCTTTGTTTATAACTGGAACTGGAAAAAAATTTAACAACCGTGGCACAAAAAAAAAAAAAACATTTAGCAACATCTTGACATACAACACCATACATCGGGAGATTAAAGTGAACCTACAGCTGGAGTCGGCTGTTCTGTCTGAATTAGATTTCCTTGTAAAGCATCAATAACGACAACAGTTTAATCCTATAATTGATTGACTCATCGCAGCTCTCTAGAGCGCTATGAAATCATTCTGAGGTTTAGGCTTCTCAGCAGTGACAACGTCTGCTTCTGTGAAGATGAATTAAGCATCATTAGGCTGTGAGAAGTAGACTAATCTCCTGACATAATCAATAAATGAAGGGGTCAAAGTCGTTACAGCAGGAACAAGTTGTTTTGAAGAGCCAGGGATTTTACAGCTGCTGCGTCTCTGCCTCATCCAAGCAACATAAAAGACGTTTTTAAAAGTGCGACCTTCACCTGTTGGATAAATAAGTAGTCGTACCTGAGCTTTCCCGCCTGCGCACTACATAAGGGTGTGTGTTTGTGCATGTCAAGTGTGGTGGGCAAATATTGTTCTTCTGGGTCAGTGGAGCTACTGTTTACTCTACCCCAACCCACTCAGCACACACATCCTACACTTCTCTCATTTGTCTTTTCTTGGCCTCCTTCAAGCTTTTTCTTCTCCTCGTTCTCCTATCCTTCCTCCCTCGCCTTCCTCACTCACTCCCTAACAACCTCTTACATCCTTACCATTGTATTTATGAGAGACTCACAGCACTCACACTCCTTTCCTTTGCCCCTCTATAGATGACATAAAACATGACTGAAGGGGAAAATATTGTGGCTTGGAGTTGCTGGCTACCGGCTCAACCGCACACTCACACTCACACACACACACACACAGCAGCAATGCAAGTTTCTGCTAACTCAACAGAATACACACACTAAATCACTAAAGAGCTGAATTATTACAGACAAGCACATATGCTCACACACACACATACACACACAGTCTAATGGCAACAGGCTGGAGAAGATGAGATCACCAGAGAGACCAGAAACCTCCAGACAACAGCCTTGTCCAAGAACACACCGCAACGCACACACACAGACCCACACACGCACACACACACACACACAGAGAATACGAGCAGCCTCCACTTTCCTGCTCTCTCCTGTTCTTGTGTCACCTCTTTACCTCTTTCACCTCATCATTCCAACTCAACATTTGTACTTTCACAGTTCAGTCGAGTTATGCTTGAAGCTTGGTGAGGCTCTGTTAAGTCAACACAAG